CCCCCGATTGTTTCTCACCGACTTTTGCAAAATCGGTGAAGGCAGTACTGGCGTCGTATGCACCGCTACCGAAACTACCTCAGGTCGGATAGTGGCTGTGAAGAAGATGGACCTCAGACAACAGCAGAGACGGGAACTGTTGTTTAACGAAGTACAAATTGACGTCGGTAAAAATTATTTGCTTAAAAACTAAAGTTCAGGTAGTCATTATGCGAGATTACCGTCATCCGAACATTGTCGAAATGTACAGCAGCCACCTGGTCGGCGACGAGCTCTGGGTGTGTATGGAGTATTTGGAAGGCGGTTCATTGACCGACGTCGTTACCAGCTGTCGCATGAACGAAATGCAGATCGCAACTGTGTGTAGGCAGTGTCTGGAGGCTCTGGCGTATCTTCATGATCACGGCGTGATACACAGAGATATAAAGAGTGACTCCATTCTGTTGGACTTTAACGGAAAGGTAACAAGTCTTTGTGTGTCAGTGATTTTATCTCTCGCGAGACGGGGACAGAATATGCAGGTTTGGTATAAGACAAATTTCACATGATTTCAATTTCTGTTATTCCTGACTGCTGTATGTATGGCGTGCCTTGAACTGACTCATTTATTCTGTTTTAGATAAAGTTGTCAGATTTCGGTTTCTGTGCTCAAATCACCCCGGAACTGCCCAAGCGCAAATCCCTAGTCGGCACACCGTACTGGATGAGTCCAGAGGTGATCTCGAGGACTGCTTACGGAACAGAAGTATCTTGGCGCGTCTGTTTAACGTTAAAAATAAATTTATGTTTTCTACTCTATAGGTAGATATTTGGTCATTTGGCATTATGATAATCGAAATGGTCGAAGGTGAACCTCCGTTTTTCAACGAGCTGCCCCTTCACGCAATGAAGAAAATCCGTGATATGAATTCCATGTCAATCGAGTTCACTGCTCAGGTAGTCCGGACATTAGACGCCATTTAATTCGTTATGGTGATCTAGAAATATCAACATATAACCTTTTAAATCGCCTGGCATTGTCAAAAAATAACATTACAATCAAAATCTGCCGATTCCCAGTCGATCGTTCATGTCGATATTGAAGGACTATGAACCGTGCATGGCAACTCTTATTTGTACACTGACACACGTGCGTGTGCATCACGCCATATCAAGACTGGGATAAGTTATTTCTCCCGTGCTATTAATCAAGTTTAAACTTCATAGGTGTTATGTTCCCCACGTCTTTTAAGCATTTCCTGGTTTGATTATTTCCAATATTTATGTACTGAAAATTTACTAATTGAACAAGATCAACAGAGTGTCTTAGTTTTTAGCGTCGATCAAAGAAAATTAAATGGTAAATAAATAAATGGCAATGAGAGAAAGCAAATAAGCAGCTGAAACTGTGGACAAAACGATGAACAAGAGAGCAGAGCCGATTTTTGCACAGCGACAGTGAAACAAAAGAACAAGTTACTTTCAATTCATCAGCTTGATGTAATGAAATGATTTATCGAATGAAGTCTACTTGCTGTCCTAGTTAGTGATATTATTTTTTGAAATATAGGAAGATCTTTTAACGTTATAATACAGCTTAGCATTGCTCGAGTAGGTATCTTTTGTATTCCCTTAGGCATTCGATTCACATCATTCCAGTATAAATGAACTGAGAAACTGGCATGAAAACTGATACCCATTTTGTTTGTCGGTATTACATTTGGATAACTTCTCACATGGCTAGTCCAGAAAATGTTATGTGAAAGATACCAGTGTCAGATAGCCAACTTTTCTAAGAATCAAGCGCAGTTCAGAGCGTTGGACGTTCATGACGTGATGTAATTATTATCATCACGTAACCGATCTTTGTACTGCTGAATGGTTCAGCGGAAAATTCGGATCTAAGTTAAGGTCTCGAAAGAGTCTACAAAGAAACATAGCAAAGCAAATGAATGCAGGTTTGGTGCGAGGTTGTGTAATTAACTGACATTTGGCAAGTGATATATCGCTGACTTTCGCTTGAAATGTCATTTTGACAAGGTACATGTGATTGAAAATGCCAATGACGCTGAAAGCATTACCGGTTAGTTCTTCGAAACTTGCTTTTGGTGAGTGTCCCACACCAAAATAGCTGGAAGAGAGAAATCAAATTATGAGCGTTCTATCCCTGACGAAACTGTGATTAGTCGCCTAAGAATGACGGAACCGCCTTGTCTTTAATGCGGTTAAACAAGTGCTGCTTTCTAACCTTGGGCAGGAAAATTCATTAAAACTTGTTGCAGCCTTCCTCTTGTGTTCTTACGCGGCAGCCAAGCACGACAGAAGGCCGTTCAAGGTGACAGTTAGGGGTAGCTTAACCGGCACAGTTGTATCATTTGGAAGTAAAATGGTATCCTCGAAAACATAACGTGGCATCGACTTTCTTTGCTACCGTAACAATGACCGTTTGTTCGTGCAGTCAAGCGAAAGTAAGTTATCTGTAAATCCAATTTAGCCGTGAGGCTGTAGTCAAGGATCATCCGAGTTATGGGCAGTCTTCTCCGAATGACCGTTTTGTCGTTGCTGTCGCCACTATAACAACGACGTGTGGTCTATATTTAATCATAATTACATTACCGAATCGGGTAAGTCGTTGACGAATTTCTACTCGAAAATTGGCCGTTAATTATTTTCTTGGCAAATTCCTGTAAGCCTACCGCTGTATTTTATTCTTGCAGTGTTTTTTCGCGCCCTACCGGACATCGGTTTTTAACTTTTCCGAATTTCATTGCAGTTGTTCTTGTTGATGATTGTCAGTAATCACGCAGCTAGTTACGAAACGCACCATTTTTCATCTCTTCATAGCGACTAGACAGTATTTCACCGTTCATACCCCCTTCATGTAATGAATCTTGGTTTTCTTTGGCGCCTTTGGCCTCTACAAATGGGATATTCCATTATGTTGATATTTTTTCAAGTTCATAAAAATAGTTAATTCTGAGTAGTCTACTGTTAAAATGCAAGTTTTATCTTTAGGTGTCCGAACCGCTTAGCACGTTTATACACAGAGCACTCACAAGAGAAGCGGAATTGCGGCCAAAGGCAAAGGATCTGCTTTTAGACCCGTTTCTCGCAAATGCAGCCAACTCACAGGTGCTCGTGCCACTAGTGAACTCCAGGTCTTTTGGAAGCAATCTATTTTCATAGAAATTTTCTGTTGCGGGGAACAGAACGGGACCAAATGTTTTTTTACTATTGTTCGCGTTTTATTTTCTTCTTAAATTTGGTTATTTACTTACCGACATTCGATTGATCAAGCTGTGAAATGGAGTAGTTGTATTATTCCGCGTTGTTGGCTGCAAGTTGCGGATTTTCGTTGTTTTATGTTCAAATTTGTTTTTATGCAGCTTAATGTCACCGTTAACAATTGTGATCGATATATGCACTTAAACTTCGTTTACAAAATATCGTTTTATGTTCAGTATATTCGCGGCGTCTCACTTTTTCATTTGTCCATGGTTGTGCCTTAGCACGTTCTATGCTAACTGTTGTTTTATTTTCTGCTTTTTGTTAAAGATGAGTATTCCACTGTACAATAAATTGTACTTAAGTACTGATTCAGTATTTCATGCCTGTATTAAAATAAGTCTACAGTAGTTTCTGTCACTACAGAAAGTCGTTGCATTATGTAATGGATTGCATGAGTGGTTTAAAATTGAACAGGGCCAAATGTGAAAGGTAATTTTAACCAGGAATATAAACCTTCCTCAATTCGGTGAATTCTGAAAAGATCACAAACGGATTAATATGCTACTTGAAAAGCTGAAGTTTCGGATTGTACTTATCTGTGATCAGAGCAATGCTAAAACGTACACTGCAATTTACTAAGGTTCAAATTAAAACATTCGCTGTGTCTGCATTGGTACTGGTCGGCAACTTGATGCTTCGTCCATGTGCAGCCGATATCTCGTCCAAAGTTGAGATCGAAATAGCTGGATACATGAAACAGTAACGCATCTGCTTTTGCAGACGAATCGGATTACTAATTGTATCGTACATTCCCCAAGATTATGTGCTGGTTAATTACATACATATAACAAACAGCTAAACTGTTCTCAATTTCCACTTTTACAGCCTCCAGTTCTTTGAATTGTCCATCCTACCTAACCGTTTACTTGAACTAATTCCTCTGAATTTAGCCCTGTACATTTCAATGCTTCTTTTTGTATTCATTCTCTCACCAGAGTGTTACCCTACTGCTTATGTGAACTGGGGCGCTATAAAATTGGACTTCATTCCTTTCTTGTTTTGGTAGGGCAAGCGACGGTGCATTTGGCTTGAACAAAAGGTTAACACGTAATGAACGCATCTTAATATAAACAAATAAATTACGTGTACAACAAAAAGGTTATTGTGTTCTAACTGAATAATTTGCTTTAGTGCCCGTGAAAGAACACGACGCATCCAGCTTTTGTAATGACAAAACGATAAACAATAAAACGTAGTCACCTAATTCAAATAAGTGAACATATTATGGTGTAGTCTGACGTGAATGCGATGAATGATGTATTGCTTTAAACGACGTAGCTGTCGCTTTGGTACTAAAGTTTTCTGTTGAGTCAGTTGACAGAAGAAAAATAACACACGACATAAAGAAGTGGAAAAACTTGCAAATAAGCTTGCAATGCGTATCTGCGCATCTGATCGGGCAGAACGATAGACTGAATTCACAGCCTGGTTGCCTCGTCACATTTTCTCTTTGACCCGACTTATTTAAAACAAATTTACTTGGGCGCAACATTTAAGGTAAACGGGCAAAAATGTTTTATACCCTTCCTTCATCGCCGTTTCAGTTAAGAACATCATCAAGCGTCCGACCATTTTACAAATCGATCGATCTAAACAGTAACAGAGGAAGCTCCATTAAGCAGAAATGCGATTAATTTCCACACAAGTAAATGTCAGATCTGCATTAAATACAGTAAGGCAAAAAATACGAGCAAAATAAAACAGAAAAAAGAAACAGCAGCGCTGGGAAGCCAACTTCAGTGAGGTGCGTCGCTTTGCTTTAACTAAAGTAATAACGACTAATTAAGAAAAACTACCTAAAATAAAAAAAGACAAAGACTGTCTAAAATCTCTTAAATTAAAGATTAAAAATGTCAATACGAGGTAGCTGGGACCAGAAGTACAACACAGTGAGTCGCCAAAAAGCCGAAAATATTCTCAACAAGAAAATAAGATACGTTGCGGGAGGACAAAAAGATGATAAACAAGCTTTTCTTTACGTTAATGCGCAAACAATTCGAACCAGCAGATACACGATGATCAGTTAGTACCGAAAATTACATGCTACGACTCCAGATCACAAAACAAAGGGATCTGTACGATGGAAATTCAGCATAGCTGACAACAGCCTCTAAACAAAACAAGATCAAAGTTAAAAGCTAAACAATTATGCAAATTAGTGGCATCAGATTTAGTGAAACTTTAAAAACTTATTCGCTGCTAAATATCTGGAATAGCATGTTGCTGACTGATGATTCACGCATCCAAAAATAGAGGGCATAAACTTACGTCATCACGGACCAAGCGTATTTCACTGCAAAAGCTTTATTGTTTTTTCCCGGTTGTACTCTTTG